GGCTCAATGAAAACACTTGAAAGCTCTTACAGTCATGCAGACAGCTCGAACGGAAATGGAAAAAATCACACCTTACAGCATTTCACCTCGCCTGGAAAGACAGTCTCAAACAATATCAACACGTAGTCAAGGAAGAAAGAACTTTATTTTATTCAAACACTATCACCCAAAACAAATCGAATCCCAGAGTTTTATTTAAAGTTTTAAACTCTATTATAAATCCCAGTCCCTGTGTTTTTAGTGATTCATCCACTGAACAGTGTGAATTATTTTTAAACCATTTTATTCAAAAGATAACAGATATCCGGACCCAAATATCTGCTCCTAGCCAAGCCACTGTTTTAAATAGAGAAACTCTGGATTTTAGTTGTTTTACAAATTTTATGCCTTTATCCCTTTCTCTTTTATCTGACATTTTATTCCGCATGAAACCAACCACGTGCAGCCTCGATGTCATCCCCACCAAATTTCTCAAAGATGTTTTTAATGTGGTTGGACCCTCCATTTTATCAATCCTTAATCAGTCCCTGGATCAAGGTCTTGTCCCATCCAGTTTTAAACATGCTGTGGTCCAACCACTTTTAAAGAAGCCTAATTTAAGCACTACAGATTTTAACAATTTTAGACCCATTTCTAAACTCCCGTTTTTATCTAAGGTTTTAGAGAAAATTGTTTCTATTCAGATTTTAGATTTTATTAACAATAACCACATCTTTGAGAAATTCGAATCCGGTTTTAAAGCACAACACAGTACTGAGACAGCTCTCCTTAGAGTTTTAAATGACCTTCTTTTAACCACGGACAGCGGAGAGTGCTCTATTTTAATTCTTTTAGATTTAAGCTCTGCCTTCGACACTATAGACCACGATATTTTATTGGATCGCCTCAAAACGTGGGTTGGCATCAGAGATACTGCACTTGGTTGGTTTCATTCTTATCTTTTAGAAAGAACCTTTGCGGTCACCATGGGTGATTTTACCTCCTCAACAGCCCCCATCACCTGTGGTGTGCCGCAAGGTTCTATTTTAGGCCCCATTTTATTCTCTATTTATATGCTCCCCCTAGGACACGTTATGGCCCGTCATAACGTGTCCTTCCACTGCTATGCGGACGACACACAGATCTACCTCCCGCTGAGACCAAACGACCCTGGAAGTCTGGCTGCTGTGGTCGACTGTTTTAATGATGTGAACCGTTGGATGGCCCATAACTTCCTTCAACTCAACACCTCCAAATCAGAAGTCCTCCTCATCAACCCGCCTCCATCCATATCCCACATCCAAACTCACCTCGGCCCCCTGTCCTCAAACATCACTCCCTCCGCCCGTAACCTCGGTGTCATTTTTGATTCTCACCTCACCTTCCGCTCCCACATCAATAAAACCACCCAAACCTGCTTCTATCACCTCCGCACCATCTCTAAGATTAAAAACATTCTCACTCCTCCCGATCTCCATAAAGTCGTCAACGCCCTCATCTTCTCCCGCCTCGATTACTGTAACTCCCTCCTCTCCGGTCTTGATGCTAAATCCCTCTCCCGCCTCCAACTGGTTCAGAACGCAGCAGCCAGACTTCTCACTGGTTTTAACAGAAGGGAGCACATCACCCCTGTCTTAGCGTCCCTCCACTGGCTCCCTGTGCGATTTAGAATTGATTTCAAGATTTTACTGATTACTTTTAAAGCTCATTTAGGTCTGGCACCAAGCTATATTTATGAACTTTTAACCCCCTACGAGCCCCCCCGCAGCCTTAGATCCTCGGGCAGGTCCTTGCTGACCATTCCAAGGTCGAGGCTCCGGACGAAAGGTGATCGAGCCTTTTCTGTCCGGGCTCCTCGGCTTTGGAACGACCTGCCCGAGGAGATAAGGCTAGCACCATCAGTATCCTCTTTTAAATCTCTTCTTAAAACCCACTTTTATAAAACAGCTTTTAATTGTCAGCTTTAAACTTATAATGTTGTATTTTACTGTCTGTCCTGTCTGTTTTGTGGTCTTGTGTTTCCTCTGTTTGTCTTGTCTTCTTGCATTCATTCTTATTGTTTTAACTTTGTATTATGACTGATGTATTGTTTATTATGCTGTGCAGCACTTTGTAAACATTGTTTTTGAAAAGTGCTTTATAAATAAAGATTTATTATTATTATTAAAAGTATATGAAAAAATAGTTTTTAAACAATTATCTGAACACATATCATCTAAAAATCTTCTATCTCCACTCCAATCTGGCTTCAGAAAAAAAAATTCAGCAACATCTACATTACTAAAGTTTTCTAATGACATTTTTTCTGGTTTTGACAACTCTTTTTTTACTGGTGCTTTATTTATAGACTTATCAAAAGCCTTTGATATGGTTGACCATTATCCTCTTTTAGACAAACTTCACTCTATTGGTCTGGACAGATCCTCACTCCTCTGGTTCAATTCCTATCTACATCACCGTCAACAATGTGTCTATTACAATGGTAGCTAATCTGGTTTTTCTTTTATCGAGAGAGGTGTGCCACAAGGTTCGTCACTGGGTCCACTTCTTTTCTCCATTTTTATTAATGACCTTCCCCTTGCCTGTACAGACTGCAGCATTCAACTTTATGCAGATGATACAGTGATTTACACATCCAATGATAACATCATCAATATTCAACAATCTATCCAACATGACTTTAATTCTGTTCAACACTGGCTAAAATCTAACAAATTATTACTGAACAAATCAAAAACAGTTGTCATGTTGTTCCAGAAAAAAATGCATCCTATTTTCTCTAACAAAATTCAGCTTACTTTTTCAGACATGTGTCCAGTTCCAGTCGTTGATAAATTTAAATATCTTGGTTTGTGGCTTGATCCTTCTCTATCATTTAACATTCATATACAAACAATCACAAACAAAATTTCATATAGACTAAAAGTACTTTACCATTCATTGAACTGTTTTGGTTTATCTGTTAGGAAGAGGATCATTTGTCAACTGATTTTACCTATTCTTGATTACAGTGATATAATTTATCAAAACACTACTGCCTCTGTCCTCCAGCCCCTGAACGTCACCTACCACAGCCTGTGCAGGTTCATTCTCCGTTGTCCCTTTAGAACGCACCACTGCCTTCTGTACGAGCAGCTTTCCTGGCTTTCTCTGTCCTCCAGACGTCAGCTACATTGGCTATTATTTATTTTTAAATGCATTAATCTTAGTTTTCCTGACTATTTAAAACAATATTTGATTCCTTTTCAATCCTCCTACAGTTTGCGTCATGCAAATCAGTCCTTCTTTTCAGTCCCAAGATTGAAAAAAGAAGTCGGGAAACATGCATTTAAATTAAAAGCACCGTCTGATTGGAACAGTTTGCCCTCATCTGTTCGCTCTCTCAGTTCTCTGGCTCAGTTTAAGAATGCTCTTGTGCGAAATCTCCAAAATCAGTGTCATTGTTTTTGATTTTGGGTTACATAATCCTATGTTTACTGCCTTTAATATTAATAAGTTTAGTATTTTCACTATTTATTGTCTGCATCAAATATATTTACAACAGTCATGGTGTGTGCGTGTGTGTGTGAGTTTGTTTTGTGGGAGTATTGTTTATTGTTGCTTTTTGTCCTTTGTCTTTATTGTTTACTTTATTGTATTGCATTGTATCTGTCACCTCTGTTACCTTTTTGAGGACCCCCTCGAAAACGAGATGTTTCATCTCTAGGGGCTTATCCTCCAAATAAATAAATAAATAAATTACAATGTTGCAGAAGCACAAGTGGTTAATACGTAAATTAGAATTAACTTAATTAGTGCTTCAGCTAGTGGTATCGATAAGTCACTCTAGGCCGTCTATGTCATATGCAGACTGTAGAAAATAGATTAAATCCCATCCACAAGACAGCATTTTAAAAATGTAACAATTTCGGAAAGGACTAAAGGTGTAAAACTTTGTAACATTACCTGATGAGGTCTTAGAGAATCCTTTTCCATGTATATCCGTTTATCTTGTAACGTTGGTAAAAACATGCAATCTTCAAATTTGAGAACAAAATAAACTGTTTAAAACCATTTCTGTCAAAACTGTTTTGTTTTTTATACATCACTGCAAACAACCAAAAATAGTTTATTTCAACAAGCAGTCAATTTAGCACAGGTTACAAAAAATGGTTTTGCAGCACGCAGTGTGAAATATTCAGAGGCCCAAGGTTTTAGTGCCACTGCTTTTAGGTCTACATAAAACTAATTCTCCATCACTCCAACCAGTTAAGAAACAGTGTTGGAAGACTAATGTTTGAATATGTAATTATTCCGGAGCATCACAAACCACAAAAAAGTATTTAATAAAAGCACTTAAGGTTTTATTTCCAAGGCAACTCTCTTTACATTGAGAACTGAGATCTGGACAGACACACACACACACACACACACACACTCACTCAAACTCCCAACTCATTTACAGATATAAGATGTATAGCTGAACAGAATTGTCAAGAACATATACAGAACTTTATCATTAGGTTACAGTAAAACCACCAGGAGGTAATTAAATACAAAACACAACATACACAGATTGCATGTTTCAATCGCAACATCAAGCATTCAAATGGAAACTATATTTGCTGGTTTTCTCACACAAAATGTTTTCCGGGTTTGTGTATAAATTTACCTGTATTGTAAACATGAAGAATCTAAACTCACAGGAAAGAAAACTAACAAACTAGACATATTATTAAGTGTAATGTACAGTGACAATCCCTGATCTCAAACCACAAAGAGCGTCTCGGCTAATACACCGGTGATGAAGGGGGATATTTGATCAATCGTCGAGGTTGCATTTATATGTAGTGTCGAAATATGCAGTGTCATTACGTAGGCAGGTTTTTTTGTGTCGACAGCTGTTTTGATCCAGTCGCGTTTTGAGGGAAAACGGGACGTGGAGTCTGAAAAGTAGGAACATTATAACAAATGAACGTTCATCTCAATTTGTAAGAGAAACAGTTTGTCCAAATGTAGAAAGAAAAGTCACTCACCTGAGTTTACTTATCAGCTGTTGTGCCTTTGACAACATCGTCTGCTCTCATCTGGAAAGTTAAAGTTGGTTAAACGTGCTGTAATGATTTTTTTACTATTTTCAAGCACTCGATAAAAAAATAACTACCACATCTTTTATTCACCAATGTTTTTGTTTTGGTTGCAATTGGTTAATGCTTTTAGTTTTAATAATTTCAACAATGTTCAAAAAAAAAGGTTATCCATTCTTGCAGTAACTATTCACTGCAATAAAACGGATCTCTAGCAAATCAGCCAAATAATGACAGGGTGATTTCATAAAAAATGTGTTTTTTAATTATTTTTTATTATACAAGATGGAGACAGCCTGTTGTGGTCTGATTTTACTTTGGCACAAACTTGGGCACAACCAACACGAATCATTAGTAGGAGGTAAATGTTAGGTCACCCATCTTTGATTAAGTGAGTACTAGATAAACTTCAGGTCGTTTTCGGCATCGCACCAGGAACAGAAGTGTAACTGACCTTGTCGAGCTCATCTTTGGTCTCGTCCTCGAGCTTCCGGATGTCCTCCATGGTCATTCCGTACCATTTGTCCATAGAACAGAAGAGCTTTCTGTGGAAGTTGGTGAAGAGTCTCTTCTCCATCTGGAATCACAAACCAACATGCATTATAAACATACATCAGGAAAATATGTTATGAATAAGGTTCATTCAATTTGAGTAGTTCAGTCACATTTATATAACGCTTTTCCATCTTTCAAGGTGCTAAAAGCGCTTCACATCAAGGAACCAATCACACATTCACAAACACATACTCACGCACAGCCACGCACAGCCACACACATTCACACACGTTCACACACATTCACACACATTCACACACACCAGTGTAAGCAGACACAGCTCTACCAAGTGACTGACTGCTACCCAGAACTCCTGGGATTAGTCTGTCGCCCTCTAGTGGAAACTAGTGATGTGGTCAGTCTGTTTCTGACACACTGACCACAATTTGACATGTAAAATACTGGTTGGCATATCACTGATTTATGTTACTTTTCCCCATATAAAATACTGACTTTTTTGGTTGTCATTCTCATTCTTTGGTTGTCAAGGCTCTTTTCTAACCACATATTCTTCTGAGATGATGTTCTCCTTCTCGCTGCAGTAAAGCCTGAATTAACAGCATTTCATCCTGATAACAATCTTAATTTCTTGTCATTTTTAATCCCATAGCAATAACTTTCACAATGTCAAATAGCTCAATAATAGATCAAAACACCGTATTAAGAGACGTGGATCTGACCAGTGTGTTACTAAGACATTTATTAATAAATAACATTTGAAAGAGTGAATGTTTGAACTCACCCTCTGAATAGTGCTCTCTACTTTGCCCTGAAGGGGAAACATTTTGAATTCAGCTTTGACCAGTTTGTAGGCGCACATGTGGGGAGTGTTGGGGTCCTTCTCCAGTGCCTTCTTCCAGTCAGGCCCCAGTGGCCCTCGCTGTGTTTTCTCAGACTTAAACTTAGTTGGATCTTCATCTTCTTTGTAGTCCTGGCAAAAAAAAAAAAACCCTTTCCCTCAGATTCAACACCAAATGAAAAGTTTAAATGTTGATATACCTTGGGTTCTTCTAGATCGGCTGCAATGTCAATGTCGACGACTTTACAGTTTTTCCATTCTGATGGGTCTAAGTTATGAACCTGTGACGAGAAATCAAAAGTTCCAGCATTTAAAAAAACCCATCTGCTCAGTTCTTTGTGTAATGTCATTTCAAATCCATTCATCCATCCATTTTTTTCCCCTTAATCCATTTTTGGGTCAGGGGGGTGGCTGTCAGAGCTGCATCCAGTACACATGGCACCAGCCCCTCACTGATCCTCCTGCAGGTGCCGAGTTCACAGGAGCTGAGATCTTTCAGTGGGGGCTTTGGGCAAAGTGGGGTTAAGTGTCTTGCCCAAGGACACAACGACAGCAGTCATCAGTGGGAGTTGTGAAGTAAGTCTCGAGGTGCATTCGAACCTACGACCTTCAGGCCCAAAGGCCGATGCTCTACAAACTGAGCTACTGTCGCCCACATTTCAAATCCACTATTTTCCAAATCCGTTTTTGAGTCATGTTAAAGTGATTGTCTGGAGTTTGTCAGAAAGAGAGACAGAGAGGTACTTGATTTGAAAAAAACGACGCATGCTCCCTCCCCCTTCCTTTCTGATTGGTCTACACCTACATTTCCGTAACACTTTTAAATGTTAATCAGAGAACACATTATACATGTACATTATTAATACACATGCACAGAGGTTTTCAGAATTATTTGTTAAAGTTTTAATGAAAAAAATAATGTTTTTATGCACAAAAAAAGCGATCGCAGCAAACACGGAACAAGTTATTATCATGAATTGCACATTATAGGACACATCTGCAGAGGATCTGATTATGGATATAGGTTTAGTATATAAATGAGTACCTCAGTGCAGATGTTCTTTGTTCAGTTTTCATGTAGTTCCAGAGCCTAATAGAGGCTTGATTCGGAGGCTCCATGAAAACAAACAACTGCGCATGCGCGCAGCTCGACGGCATCGTGGATTCTGAGCTATAGCTAAGAGAAGGGAAGGCGGGACTTACCTGCAATATTAGAATTCATAAAATGACTTATTTTATATCAACATTTAAGGCCAGGAGGTCAATTTAACACATTTCCTAAAATTTGTAATTCATTCAGAGTTACAGACTATCACTTTAAAGCATTGTTCTCTTATCTAAAACAGAACTAAAATTGGGAACTTCTTGTCTATAGGGTTCGATCTCACTTCTGGTCCACTATGATGAATCCTTTCAGATTTTGTGATCTATTACACCAAGTCACAAAAACACTGCCATGTGTGCAGTTTTTTGAAAAATTTGGTCCAAACTTTCAGCCTTGTGATGAGTGTTTAGAAGAATGGGGCAACGGTCAGAGAAAAGCTTTGGGGATTTCTCCAGTGCTCAGACATTCTTTACAACCATGCCCTCTAATCATGGAAAGCTCATAAAATTACAGTAATGAAATTACATTTTGAGATTCCTCATCTAATATGCATTTTTATCCAATGTATTATATTATCAGGATAGGGTTATTGCCAGCTTAAGACCATCTCCTGCATCAACGTACAGCCTATTTCCACAAGAGAAAGAAATATTTTTTCTCATAATCCTCAATCTGAACAAACCTGCTGCTGACTGGGGACCTAGCTTGCACAAAGAGCTTCCTTTCCGCTAATGTTTGGAATGTTCAGGGTGCGAGCATGCCCCAATGAAACCTAACCCTAATCCACTGACTTGAAAAGGCCGACATCTCGGATCCCCTCGGCTTGGTTTATCTATACATTTTATTATAGATCTTAAGGGCCAAAAACAATGCATAAAACAGTTCACACTCACATTTTCTATTGTGCCCATATCCTCCTTGTGCCACGTGATTATCTCTATAGAGAAGCGCTCCTTCATATATGGACTCTGGAAACAGAAAATTAAATGATCTTTCTTTCTGTACATTTAAATCTGACAATAAAAACATTATTGTGTAAATGCATTCATCTAGCAAGACAAAACACAGACTACATTTTGAATATGATCATCACATATACATTTTTACTGGTTGGAATATGAAATGTAACAATAGTATTTTATTTGTCTTATAGTCGACACAATACTAAGTTATAATCATAAGTTACCTTTCGTGATCAAGGTGCTTAAAAAAATAATCAGTTCATTTGAAATCAGGAAACAAAATGAGATCCAATCACAAAAGTTCCGACAGGTTGCGTTCAAGAAATACTCACTTTTAGGACTTTAGGAACGCCACGGAGCCAGAAGAAACATGAAAATAAAGAATTCAGAACATTGAGAATAAACATATTACAACGACAATAGGTTGAGGTCCTTGTGCTGCTCACCTGTTCTGCAATAAGGATACGCGTTCCAAGCTTCTTCATGGATCTCTAGAGAGCCTTTTGGAGCCAGCACTCTTAACCAACCAGGGACTTTACTGCAAAATGTACATGCAACAGAATACACAAAAATCCTATAAATCCTTTCATTTCACATTTTGAAGAAGAATTTGCTAATGACTCTTAGCTATAAATACGGGAAAAACAATTAACAAAAAATGACTAATACAAAAGGCAGAGGGAGCGAGGTTCACACAATGTAATTCGGCAGATGTATTCAAAAAGCGACAGTAGCTCAGTTGGTAGAGCATTGGCCTTAAGCCCAGAAGGTCGTGGGTTCAATTCCCACCTCTGCACCTTCTCCACCGACTCCCACTGATGACTGCTGTCGTTGTGTCCTTGGGCAAGACACTTAACCCCACTTTGCCCAAAAGCCCCCACTGAAAGATCAAGGCTATGCTCACACTCAGAGAGCAGCCGTCCTCCTGTGGACTCACCACCTGCAGAGGGTCAGTGAGGGGCTGGTGCTATGAGACTTGGGTGGCATCTCTGACTGTCACCCCCCTGACCCAGAAATGGATTAAAGGGTAGAAAATGGATGGATGGATGGATGGATGGATGGTATTCAAAAAGTTTGCGCAACAGTTTGAATTTGTCTTCGAATTTTATGACATCTACCGGGGGAATTCTAGTCCCCAAAAAAAACATTCTCTGATCTGTGTTGGCAAATTCAACGGGTTTGTTAAGTCCTATGAGATCACTACGGTTGTAAATTAGGGATACACAAAAATAAATTGAAATTGAATAAACGTGAGTGGGAATAGGCCGGCGCTTTTTCCCCCGATAGGCCCTTTGGTTGCTTAGTCGTTGCTACCCACAAACTAGACTCTAGATTCCTGCCGATGGAGCCTGTTTGAGAAAACTCTAATCAGCTTCTTCCGCAATAAGTCCGAAACACTGAAGGTGACATCAGCACCTTAGTCCACTCCTACAGTCTGTGCTCTCGACCCCTCATCGGACTCAATGAACGCAAAAAGGACCCACCTAAAACTGCCATCATATTTACCATATTTCTCCCAGAGGTCGTGAACGAGGACTGAACCGTTACCTCTGTAGGTGGTAGATCTTGTGGGTGAACTGGCCCTTTTCCTCTCCATTCTCGTAGGGCTCATTGGTCAGCACCTCCACACCCTCCCCGCCTCCGGTCTCTCCTTTACTGGCCTCTGCAACGGCGTACAGCTGCGCCACCTGGTACTGCAGAGAGACGGGAAGACGTGAGCCCTTATATCTACAACTTTGATGTGATTCTGTAATTACAAAACTTTATTTATGTTTTACTTTTGCAGTAAAACCATATTGGAATTCATTTGCAAACAGGATGATACCGAATCTTGAATATTCCCGATTGCAAACGTAAAAAGCAATTCTTATCAATAGCTGTCCTGCTAGACAACCTCAAGATAAGCATTGGTGTGAAAAAACATTCCTGTGTAAATCATTTATGTTCGGTGATAAGGGCTGTCAGTCATTTGAGGATCTTTGCATCCAGTTTAATTTACATCACTCAACTTTATTCTTTTACTTACAACTAAGAGCTGCCCCTACACAAGGAAGGATAATGATGTATTTCTATGGTTTCAGATGGAGCGAAAGAAGTTCTAATACTAATACTTCAAGAGACAAACGTAAATTTTATAATAATTAATCAATACAATTTTAACAATTTTTACGAGAAATCAAGAATCAGTAGGAATTAAATGACTTTGATCTGTTGTTACCAAAATAGAGGCCAGGACCCCCATAGAGGTCCCGAGACAAATTTCTAGAATATTGTATTTATGTAAAACTATTTTATACCCAGTTAAATTATATGAAATAGCACCTTTAAAATGAACAAAACACCATTACAGTGAACTCATTTTTTTCAGTCTTCTGGGCCTATAGCGTTTTTTTTCTTAGTCAAATGGCGACAAAATACAGGGAATTTCTGGAGGTTCAAGTCTGTGACGGAGATGGAACCACGCAGGGATGTGACATTTCAGGTTGGACCGGTGAGTCTTTGCCCGTCTCAGTATTTCGGGGTAATTAGGGATCCTTCAAACCTAAAACGTCCTCTGTTCATGGACAAAACAAGTCGAGGCAAAGCGCTCGCAGCAGACGTTTAACAAAGCTTCAAGGTGTGGACGCCAAACTGACATTCTGGAGTCAACTATTCGTGTTTAGAGGCAGAAGTGAGTCTACATCACATTATTTAGAGGTAGACCAGTGAGAAAATGTTGTGATACAGAAACAACAACTACAACAATAACAAAAGAACGTAAGCCATGGCTGCATTGGTGGAGTAAAAAAGCACCCGTAGAGCACAGACCACTGCCATAAGGGGAATTCCATGTTTTTCATTCAAATACTTCCATGACTTTGAGTTATGTTGCTGACAAACAAACAAACACGCAAACGCTATGGAAGACTTCACCTCCAGGGCAGGGATACTAAGTTAAACATGCAACGATCAATGGAACCCAATTGATGACAGTATTAGAAGAAATACTGAGTAAGAACAATGGGCCTCATTCACGAATAACTTCGTAAGAAACTACTCAACTTTCTTCTCAAGTTGTCCTTAAGTAGATTTCTAAGAAGTCCCCACGTGGGATTCATCAACGCACTCGTAAGCCGCTGAATTGTTCGCAGCTGTTCTCTCAGATTGATGAATCCCATTTCCTCGTAAGTACAGCGCGCGTGCCAGGTGCTTCATTAGCATAGGTACTTACTTAGCATAAGTAACCGCCCACTAATGCCCATATAAGGGACTGCAGGGCCGTGTGCAGACGGCAGAGGAAACAGCAACAGGCCTAAAGCAACGAGTTACCAGACTTTTACCAGACTGAGAATAAAGTTATAAAATGTTGACTTAAAAGTCGAAATATTATGATAATAAAGTCGAACTAGCAAAATTATGAGATTAATCTAAGAATATGATGAGATTAATCTCAAAATGTTATGAGCTTAATTTAAAAATATATTATGTATTATTTTAAAGATGAATCTCAAAATGTTTTGAGATTAATCTCAAAATATTTTGGACCCTGGGAGGAGATCCAGCGCGGACCAGCGCTGAGACCACTGCAGACCCGAGGAGAGACTGGAGTGACCAGCACACAGAAACCAGCGCGGACCTATAGGAGAGACCGCATAGACTGGAGTGACCTGACTGGAGAGACCGGTGCGCAGAGACCAGCGCGGACCGAAGATAGACCGCATAGACCAGACTTGAGAGACCAGCGCGGACCCGTATGGATCCAGGAGCATGCAGCACGGACCCGTATGGAGAGAGACCAGTGCAGACCCGTATATGGGAGAGACCAGTGCAGACCCGTCTAGATCCATGGGAGAGACCAGTGCAGACCAGTATAGATCCATGGGAGAGACCAGTGCAGACCCGTATATGGAGAGACCAGTGCAGACCCGTATAGATCCATAGGAGAGACCAGCGCAGAGACTCAGCGCGGACCCAGTAACCTCCTGCAGCAGCAGTATATATGCCGTTGTTCTGTGGCCCGTGGATAAAGAAATGCCCCCTATAAATAGGAAGGGGTCACTAATACATGGCAAGATTTCCAATGTATTTGATAAAGCGTTGGCACATTTCATTTCAAAATGAATTAAAAAGTAGGCCAGATCTGCAGTGAAAAAGGCGGTATATAAATAAAGATTACTAATAAAGATTACTACAAATAAATAAATACATACATCGATATGACGGACATATCACTGGAATGTTGTATTTTTATTCAACTTCACCAAAAGAGGACAACCCCAGCGTGTGAACATGTCGGCACTGAATGCGTACGAGTGCTCCTGAGGACTCGTAGGATTTGTACTTGCCCAAGAGAAATTCTGGTTACGAGAAATATTCGTGAATGCCACTTTCTTCGTAAAAACCGCGTAAGTAGGATTTACGTACAAATCTGTTCCTAAGAACCGTTCGTGAATGAGGCCCAATAAGAGTTAAATACAGTAGCACTTGTGAAATTACAATAAACGTCTACTAATTGAGCTCATAGAATTTTTTATCCAATTTTAAATACGATTTCCACTTTTTTTTGGTCTAAAAAAGAAAAAAAAGTCACCTTTAGGATCAAATGCGTTCCTGACTGGGATTGTGAATCCTGAATATACAAGAATATACTAATGTATGCATCTATAGCCCGTTGGACCTCATTTTAAAAGCCAATTTGATCATTGTTTATTTTGCTCCAAACAAAAATAACCCAAAACGTCATTATAAAAAATAAATAGAAATTATTGAATACATACATACATCTGTAAATCAGTCAAAGAAAAAAAACTACTCCTTAACTTCGGTCCAGCCACATTTCAATTCAAGAACAACCTTTCTTGTTTTTGCTAGAGAACATACTAAAAAGATTACACAAACACATATTCATATTCTTCAAAAGTGCCTCAACAATGTGAAAAACTAAATAGACAAAAACAAGCAAAAGATGGGCTATAAACAAACCTCTCCTCTAGACTTCTTAATAAATAATAATAAGCCAATTCCCGAGAATGAAAAAACTTCTACAAAACAACTGTATTGCCATCTGTCTGTTATGAGCCCTGTCTCTGTCCCTCCAAATAAAGACTAAACTAAATATGAGCGATGGAGACAAAAACTGTCCCTTTCTTTCCACTCAAATGAAACTATTGAACTTCGCTAAACTTCTGAAGGGATCCCGAGAAAAGCCGGTCACACTGCAAACGGTTTAGTGGATTTAGTGAAGCAACGGCCGCACAAAGGGCCCAGTGTGGAGACGCGAGACTCTGGCTGGAAACCTGAATCGGGAGGTGGAGTGAAATGAGGGGAAGGGTGACCGAAGCCGGAGTGACCTGCTCAAAAGCACACAGGCAACATTGGGACAACATTGAGCTTAGCAGGGTTCGCACGCACTTAGGACTTTTGAGTGAGTCATGCGTGTTTGAGTTCTCCACGCTCCTCCGACCTTAATTTGTTTACTATTGTGCGTTTCTATTTGTCTTAAAGTTGGAGTACCCAATTATCAAATCTCGAACATATTAAAAAGGTATATACAGTGGGGCAAAAAAGCATTTAGTTAGCCACCGATTGTGCAAGTTCTCCCACTTAAAATAATGACAGAGGTCTGTAATTTTCATCATAGGTACACTTCAACTGTGAGAGACAGAATGTGAAGAAAAAAAATCCAGGAATTCACATTGTAGGATTTTTAAAGAATTTATTTGTAAATTATGGTGGAAAATAAGTATTTGGTCACTTCAAAACAAGGAAGATCTCTGGCTCTCACAGACCTGTAACTTCTTTAAGAAGCTCTTCTGTCCTCCAATTGTTACCTATATTAATGGTACCTGTTTGAACTCCTTATCTGTATAAAAGACACCTGTCCACAGCCTCAAACAGTCAGACTCCAAACTCCACTATGGCCAAGACCAAAGAGCTGTGGAAGGACACCAGGAAAAGAATTGTAGACCTGCACCAGACTGGGAAGAGTGAATCTACAATAGGCAAGCAGCTTGGTGTGAACAAATCAACTGTGGGAGCAATTATCAGAAAATGGAAGACATAAAAGACCACTGATAATCTCCCTCGATCTGGGGCTCCACGCAAGATCTCATCCCGTGGGGTCAAACTGATCATGAGAGCGGTGATCAAAAATCCCAGAATCACACGGGGGGAGCTGGTGAATGACCTGCAGAGAGCTGGGACCAAAGTAACAAAGGTTACCATCAGTGACACACTACGACGACAGGGAATCATATGCTGAAGCCAGTGCATGTCCAGGCCCGTCTGAGGTTTGCCAGAGAGCACATGGATGATACAGCAGAGGATTGGGAGAATGTCATGTGGTCAGATGAAACCAAAGTAGAACTTTTTGGTATAAACTCAACTCGTCGTGTTTGGAGGAAGAAGAATACGGAGTTGCATCCCAAGAACACCATACCTACTGTGAAGCATGGGGGTGGAAACGTCATGCTTAAGGGCTGTTTTTCTGCTAAGGGGACAGGACGACTGATCCGTGTTAAGGAAAGAATGAATGGGGCCATGTATCGTGAGATTTTGAGCCAAGATCTCCTTCCATCAGTGAGAGCTTTGAAGATGAAACATGGCTGGGTCTTCCAGCATGACAATGATCCCAAACACACCGCCTGGGCAATGAAAGAGTGGCTCCGTAAGAAGCATTTGAAAGTCCTGGAGTGGCCTAGCCAGTCTCCAGACC